AAAAAAAAAAACCCCCCCAAAAAAAAAACCAAAAAAAAAAAAACCCCCCCCCCCAAAACCCCCAAAAAAAAAAAAAACCCTCCCCAAAAAAAAACCCCCCAAACCCCCAAAAAACCCCCCCTTTTAAAAAAAAAACCCCCCAAAACCCCCCCAAAAAAAAACCCCCCAAAAAAAAAAAAAAACCCAAAAAAAAACCAAACCCCCCCCCCCAAAAAAAAAAAAAAAAAAAAAAAAAAAAAAACCCCCCTTTCCCGAAAACCCCCCCCCAAACCCCCAACCCCCCCCAAAAAAAACCCCCCCCAAAAAAAACCAAAACCCCCCAAAAAAAAAAAACCCCCCCACCCCCCCCCCCCCCACACAAACCCCCACACAAACCCCCCCCCCCCCCACACCCCACACCCCCCAAAACCCCCCCCCCAAAAACCCCCCCCCCCCCCCAAACCCCCCCCCCCAAAAACCCCCCCCCCCCCCCCCCCAAAACCCCCCCAAACCCCCCCCCCCCCCCCCCCCCCCCCCCCACACCCCCCCCCCCCCCCAAAAAACCCCCCCAAACCCCCCCCCCAAAAAACCCCCCCACACCCCCAAAAAAAACCCCCCACACCCCCCAACCCCCCCCCCCCCCAAAAAAACCCCCAAAAACCCCACCCCCCCCCCCACCCCCCCACACCCCCACACAAAAACCCCCCCCCCCCCAAAAACCCCCCCCCCCCCCCCCCCCCCCCACCCCCCCCAAACACACCCCCCCCCCCCCACCCAAAAACCCCCCCAAACCCCCCCCCCCCCACCCCCCCCAAAAAAAACCCCCCAAAAACCCCCAAAAAAAAAAAACCCCCCCCCCCCCCCCCCCCCCCCCAAAAAACCCACACACACAACCCAAAAACACCCCCACCCCACACACAACCCCCCCCCACCACCCCCCCCACACCCAAAAACCCCCCCCAAACCCCCAAACCCCCCCCCCCACAACCCCCCCCCCCCCCCCCCCCAAAACCCCAAAACCCCCCCCCCCCCCCACAAACCCCCCCAAACCCCCCCCCCACCCCCCCCCCCCCCCCCCCCCCCCCAAAAAACCCCCCCCCCCCCCCAAAAAAAACCCCCCCCCAAAAAACCCCCCCCCCCCCCCCCAAACCCCCAAAAAAAAACCCCCAAAAAAAACCCCCCCCCCCCCCCAAAACCCCCCCCCCCCCAAACACCACCACTGACACACACCACCACACCACACAAATAAATAACAAAAAGGCACAATACCGTGACTGGAACGATACACAAAATAACCCGCACATAAAAGACAGAAGCTTACGACGACGTTTCGGTCCGACTTGGACCATTGACAAAGTCAATGGTCCAAGTCGGACCGAAACGTCGTCGTAAGCTTCTGTCTTTTATGTGCGGGTTATTTGTGTATCACACCACACACACCACACACACACACCACACACACACACCACACACACACACCACACACACACACCACACACACACCACACACACAACCACACACACCACACACACACACACACACACACCACCACACACACACACCACACACACACACCACACACACACACCACACACACACACCACACACACCACACACACACACACAACCACACACACACACCACACACACACACCACACACACACACACCACACACACACCACACACACACCACACACACACCACACACACACCACACACACACCACACACCACACACACACCACACACACACCACACACACCACACACACACACACACACACACCACACACACATACCACACACACCACACACATACCACACACACCACACACATACCACACACACACCACACACACACCACACACACACCACACACACACGACACACACACCACACACACACACCACACACACACCACACACACACGACACACACACCACACACACCCCACACACACCACACACACACATATGATACGAAGTTAATGAGAATTAAATCAGTTGAGGATCAGGCAGGACTAGAGAGAGACCTGAACAGGCCAGACACATGGTCCAATAACTTGGTCTTTGAATTTAACCCCATCAAATAGAAAGTCATGAAGATCAGGGAAGAGCAAAGAAGACTGCAGACGCAGTATAGGCTAGGTGGCCAAAGACTGCAAACTTTGCTCAAGGAGAAAGGTCTTTGGGCGAGTATAATACCGAGGACGTCTATGGAAGCTTACATTAACCAGATAACTGCTGCAGCATATGGGTGCCTCCCAAACCTGAGAATAGTGTTCCAATACCTCAGTAAGGAATCTTTTAAAACTCTGTACACTGTGTACATCAGGCCCATACTGGAGTATGCAGCACCAGTTTGAAATCCACACCTGGTCAAGCATGTCAAGAAATTAGAGGAAGTGCAGAAGTTTGCAACAAGGCTAGTTCCAGAGCTATGGGGATTATCCTATGATGAAAGGTTACGGGAAATCGACCTGACAACACTGGAGGACAGGAGGGTCAGGGGAGGCATGATAACGACATACAAAATACTCTGTGGGATAGATAAGGTGGACAAACAGGATGTTCCAGAGATGGGACACAGAAACAAGGGGGTCACAGTTGGAAGTTGAAGACTCAGATGAGTCAAAGGGTTGTTAGGAAGTGTTTCTTCAGCCATGGAGTTGTTAGGAAGTGGAATAGTCTGGCAAGTGATGTGGTGGCGGGAGGAACCATACATAGTTTTAAGACGATGAATGATAAAGCTCATGGAGCATGGAGAGAGGGGACCCAGTAGCGATCAGTGAAGAGGTGGGGCCAGGAGCTGAGTCTCGACACCTGCAACCACAAATAGGTGAGTGCTCTCTCTCATACACACTCTTAACCCCTGCAACCACAATTAGGTGAGTACACAGAACATAGGACACACAAAATACAGAAACAGACACCGCACGCACGCGCGCAAACACACACACACACACACACACACACACACACACCTGCTCATTAACACTCGCTTTCTTCTACGATAACCTTATGTCTGCACTGTACTAAACTCTAAGGTCATTATATATCATGACATTTCTCTGTAGTATGTACTATATTAAATAAAAATATTTTGCATGTCTTTTGTCACATTACATTACAATATTTGTTCTCTTCAGTCTTTGCATCAAAATTTGCATGCACCTCTTTTTATCAAGGTAATTTTTATATTAAAACATAGTTGGTAGACTTCATACTCTGGTAGAAACTGGTATTGATTAGGAAATTTTTGTGTAGTTTTGAAGTTGAAGACGATGTTGTTATTATTGAAGATTCTGTGAAATGAGCGATAAAGTTGACACTTTGAGTACTGTATAGTTACTGTTTTGTTTATTATTATTATTCATATTGAAGCAGCAAGTTATGAAGTGTCACACAGCACTGGAGGAATGAGAACCAGTCAGGTTTGATCCTGAGAAAGAAATGACTGCTTGAGATTCTCAGATCAAGCCCTTCACTGGTACTGGAGCACACCCCTTCAAGGGACTAATGTTTGAATAATGTTAGTATGCATCAGTTGTATTCATTTTATCACTGTATTAGTGACAGAAATTTAAAGAAGCCATAAGCAAGCAAACAAGCAAGCAATGAAGCACACACAAACTGATACAACAGTAGGATGATGTCTGAACATTCCTTATAGCCAACAAAGCAGTGTCTTAGTGCCTACTTTGTCCTTTCTGAGATATTCTAGTGATTACAAGAGAAGGTATTTAAATGTTTTGTATACCTTTATGTGCATGATTGATATATTTCTTACATAGGTTATTGTGATTATCTGGATAGTTTTTGTAAATACCATTAGTAAGATTGAGTGTCACAATATTATTACTGTACTAATTAACATATTAAAATATATTAAGCTGCTGCTGCTGCTTTTTTTTTTTTTTTTGTAACATTTAAAATTTAAAAATAATAGAAGGGTTATAAATTAAAATAGTGTTTTTCAAAGTACCTGTTTAAGGACTAGAAGGCAACTTATCAAGGAACTAGGAAGTAGTATTGACTTGGACTCTCTTAAAATGCTGGTTTCATTATACAGTACTATTATATGTTGTTATATTCTTGGGAAGCATGCAGCTTGTACTGGTCATACAGTGTATGGGGATAGGAATAGTGGGGTGTAATTAAGTTTGTTCTGATAAAGGGAAGGGTAACTCCAGTTCTTTGACTCGAGCTCTTCGCATCAAGTTCCCTTCTCTTTAATTAAGGCAGATAAAATAGTATGAAATTTAGCAAAGATAAAATATGCAATGAATACTTCAGAACTAATGAAAGAATGTTGAATATATCAGATTGCGAAAGAAGATGCAAGCTGTTCACACAGTAGGTGTGATGATTATTTTACTAGTGGGGTAACACATGAACCATGTGCTTGGAAGAGTAAACAAATAATGTTTATATAATTATTAGGTGCATTTCTAGAAGACACTGTAGACCTCCCTAGATCTGCTGTTGTATTTATATTTCTTAAATGTTTCTAAGTTACTGTACTTTTCCTTATATTTTCAGTAATTAATGTACAGTATCTACATTTAACTAAAATTAGTAAATGAGAGGATGGGTGGGCAGTACTCGTTCAGTTTTGTCTTGTCATTTTGCTCGTTCTTAAATATTATCATAATATTCCATTAAAATGTGTTAGGTTACCTTTTTTTTTATTCATAATTAATATACTTAAAATTTTAAATGATAAAAAAGATAAGGGAGGGCAGAATGGTATAGTATATTGATGGATTCACTTTTAATTTTATTCTTTTGCACCTTATTTCCAAATTCCTCTATAAAATTCAACAGTTTTTCTTCCTTCCCAATGGTACTGTTATGTATAACAGCAACTGTGACCACTTTGTTGGATTTATTATATTTAATGAATACAATTTAAGGTTCATATGTGGATTATGAAAATTCTTTAGAATATGTCCTGAATTAGAAATTATTCTTTAATTGGATTATGTGATTTAAGTCTGAAAAAATGCCCTGATCACTCAGGTACGGCGGGACTGATCATTTCTGGGAATCGTATAGTGACAAAATTGCTGTTGGATGACCAGCGGACCAACACCATGATCTTCTTTGTCATCTCCATTGCCTTTGTCTTCCTCTGCCTCATCACACATATTGCTGTTCAGAAGACAACATTTATTCAGGTTCTCCTCTTTTTTGTTCAATTGCCGTGAACCCTCAGTTTAACAGTTAAAGGTGGCAGGGGGGTTGTTCATTAAAGGAAACTGTCTGTTTAGTTCAAATTGTGAGAATATTTTTCAGTGATCGTAACAGTAACGGATGATTTTTTGGATTTAATTGACTTGGTTTCATAAATTTGAAAATAAATTTACCCAGGGAACTGCAACAATAATGAATAATTCTGGCCTTAATGGACTTTATCCATTAAATCCAAAATTAATTTACCCAGCAGTCCATAAGAAAATGGTTAATTCTGGATTTAATGGACTTTGTTGCTTCCAACTGTTGTCCAGCCGAAGACTGTCCATTAATTCTGAAATCTGTTAAATTGGGTTCAGAATTACTTATTAATGAATGGCTTTCAATAAAAAATACAGTATTACTGTATATAAATTTTGTACAACATAATGCATATACAGCCTCTCCTCACTTAGAGATGTAGTACTTGTTTACTGACGACTCGGACTTACGACAGGCTCTGACCAGTGTGCATACCTAAGCAATGTGTATCAGAATTGATTTCCTCTATTCTGTTTATTACAATACTATACAGTACAATACTGTATAAACATTTAAAAAATATACTAAAAATGTTATAAATGGTGCAAAGGTGACATTAAAACAATATCAAAGATGGTTGACACAAGCCTACAACAATTATAGTATGCTCCTTGCTTAGTGATGAATTAGTTTACCGATGTGGTCTTAGGAATGGAACTTTGTCGTTAAGTGAGGAGAGGCTGTACTGTACTTTTTTTCTACCTCGGTGGCCATCTCCAAAGGCAGGATGACCCAAAGACAAAAACACATCCCCCATCATTCATTCAGTCACTGACATCACAGTTCAGACTACCCTCTGATTACAACATCCTTACCTCTCCTTCAAAGTGCAGGCATTCTGCTCATCCCTTCTCCAGGATTCAAGACTGGCTAACCATTTTTTCCTGAATCCCTTCATGTTACTTTGCTCACACTCTAACAGCATGTCCGTTAACGCTTTCAGTGGCCATTATGTAGATCTACATTATTTATGGCAGTATCTCTCGCATAGATCTACATTTTGAGTACTGCTCCCTCAAATAAGATGTGAGCAGTAAATTTTCACCTAGATATGAGAGATTGGGTCTGTGTGGTGAGTAGGCACAGTATTAAAAAATCCTGCTCCACACGGTGCAGGATTGTTTAATTTTAAATAATGACTTTGAGGTGTTTTCTAGGATGGCTTTATTGGCTGTATCTTGGTATAATTGATAGAATAGAAGATATACTACTGAAATAGAGATGATGTTGGTTGGTTTCAGAACTGGAAGTACTGTAGCTTGAAAGTGAGTCCAGACTAGCAGAAATATTTGATTTTTGCTTATTTTTTCCTGAGGATGGGTAAGTCTACCCTCGACCCCTGGTCTGTTTTATGAATTTTTTGTCATTATCTTCAAGAAAGATTTTTATAATTTCAGATTTTTTTTAAATGTGAACACTGAGAGCAATATTAGTTTTGGTGGTATGGACAGTGAAATCTTTAAAAATTACTTGTCTCAATTCACTCCTATCAAACATGCTCACACAAGCCTGCTTGATGCTCAAGTTCCTAAAACTCAGTGCTTCTTTTACCCCTTTCCATTTACATACATACAGCTAATGCATATCCCATGTCTGGCATTACTGATAGAAATTGGTCAGTGCATAATAGCAGATTCACATAAAATACTGAAATAACTGTTTATCCATCATATGTCCACATTGTCTTTTGTAGTGGTTGCCTAGCAGTAAGGGGGATGTGTGAAGTATCTGTCTACCTGTTGATGGTCCCAGAGAGTAGTGGTGCCAAATGGAGACTGAGGCCCTAAATTTCATCAGCTGTCCCTAAAGGAGGGGTTTGGGATGTTTGCTGTTTGGAGAAATATCTAAGTTGTCGTATCTGCATGCGTTTGGCAAGACAGTGATAGTGTGAATGATGGTGAAAGTGTTTCTTTTTCGGGTCACCCTGCCTTGGTGGGAGACGGTCAGCATGATAAAAAAATAATAATAATTCTGCTTCAAGCTATATCGTCTAGTCCCATCTTCCAACCAGATTACCACCCCTAAGCCCTTCCTATATAAAACTTCTGGAGCTGCCCCTGGTCCTGGAGAAGTTAGGCTATTGATGCTAGCATACACTTATAAGAAAATGCAGTACAGTGCATAGTTAGGTTTCATGAATACTTTTACGATGATTGCAAATACTAAAGGTGCTTATTGCATTTGTTCTGTTAATTCTTTTATTTGAGAATTACATACTCTACTGTTGCCTGTATGTTTTGTGTAACTAAGTTAAATTCCTTACTGGTTGAAATATCTCTTAAATTGCCTTTTGGTTTCATTAGCTTTGTATATAACCACACTGCTACAGTCTATTTCAAGAACCCCAGTGGAAATAAGTCATACTGACTTTTTTGGGTTATCCTAGGTAATTAATATTTATGACAATTGTACTTATGTGTAACCCAAAGCTAATTATTGAAATATGCATCACTGCTTATTTCTTTCAGTTCTATCTCAATTTATGTCGAACCAGTGAAGACACTGATGATCTCAAGAGAATTACCCTGGAGCCATCAGAGGATGCCATACTTGTAAGTGCACATCTCAGTATAATTGATGAGCAATCTCAGTTATATTAGTGAATAAGCAAAAATGTGAAATGTGTCTTATTTCACTCACAATCATAATACCACCACGAACGGCAGGTTTGTTGAAAAAAAAAATCTGACTTATCTGTCAGACTTTTATTTTTATTAATGTTGAAGTATATTATAATGATGGGAAGTGCTAAGACTGTAAGAGCTGTACAGCATCTGGGAAAAGGGAGATGATTCAATTTGATAAGAGGAAAAGTAAGATAGCTCCAATATCTTGGATCAAGAGTCTAGGCACCCGCTCCAATATCTTGGATCAAGAGTCTAGGCACCCTTTTTCCTCTCCCTTGAAAGGTTTTATCTCTTATGATCTATGCACTAATGTGCAATAATGTGTTTTGTATTCTGGTAGTGTAATGCATTATTGTTGTTATACTGAAGGGAGGGGAAAACACTAAACTAGTAGGCATCATCATTATTTTTTTTTTTCGACAAACTGACCAAATCCCACTGGGGCAGGGTGACCGAAAAAGAAAAAATATAAGTTTCTTTTTTTAAATTTAGTAATGTATACAGGAGAAAGGGTTACTAGCCCCTTGCTCCCGGCATTTTAGTCACTTCTTATGACATGCATGGCTTACAGAGGAAGAATTCTGTTCCACTTCCCCATGGAGAATTATTATTATTATATTTGGTGGGGGATGGGGGTAGCATCCCCCACCACTGTATGACCTGTAGAGGTCATACAGTAAGTGGGGAAATGGGTGGTAATCAGGTTCATTCAAAGAAGAGGAAGGGTGGGTCCAATTCTATAGATGACAAGCCCATTAAGTGTCATGGAATCTCCTTCGAGAGAAGTCATACAGAGCTTTGGAATATGGGAGATAATGAAGTTTGACCCAAGGAAGGAAGTGTCTGATCCAATTACTTCGATCAAGAGCCCCTCATGGTTATCAAGAACTCTCCCTTGAGGGAATATAATTGATATTTTATTTTTAGGCTATTTCTTAGTATTGGTAAGTGTAGTAAAATTTATTTTACCCTGTATCTTAATGGGGAAATTAAATATCAAAATAAGTTAAATGTAGATACTGTAAGTAATGTGAATTTTATATTTTTTTCTAGGTTGATGTAGCTGGTGGATTTGGTGTAGGCAGTGTGAACAGCTCCTATGGTGGGACAGTGACACCCTCAGACTCAACTGCCACTTTCCAGTCTACAGCCACTCTCCCCATCTCTGCATCCGTAGATCCTGTCGACTCGTCAGCTCCGAGTTATAGAGTTGAACATGTAATTATGGGGAGAGTGAGAGGAGGCTACTCATCAACATATACCAGGTCTATCAGACTTTGGTCAGCAATTAAAAGTAAGCTATTCCACAGTGTTTTGAAGTAAGATAAACTGTATATATCTGTTAGGAACTAAACCCTTCTAAAGGGAAGGCATGAATATACATAGCAAGTGATTTATTTAACAACAGTGAGAAACCCCAATTTTTTGGAAAACTGTGGAATAGGAATTTTTCCCACTTTGTTCAGAGATTATTATACGTATTATTTTCAGAAAATGCCCTAAGCCCATGTGGGTCATAAAAGCACTTAGCTTAACCCCTTGACTGTCGAAACCCCAAATCCAGAGATGTCTTCTGGTGTCGAAAAATTTTTGATAAAAAAAAAAAAAGTTTTTCTTATGAAATGATAGAGAATCTTTTCCCAATGGTAATGACATCAAAAGAACGAAATTTGATGGGAAACTTACGGAATTATGCTCTTGCGAAGTTAGTGACCTCGGTGATATTTACGAATCGGCGGTTTCGCCCACTTTGAGCCCAATTTTCGGCTAATTCCATTGTTCCAGTCGACCAAACTCATAGCTGTTTCTCTAGAACTCCATTTGTTCTATTGATTGAGTACAAGAAACTGCCCATTTACTGATTTCAACTACCCAATAACGTGGTCAGAAATTTGCATTTTGGCCAATTTCACGCAAATTAAAAAATATGCCAATTTTAAAATAGGGTCCAGAATGAACAATGCAGACATTCCTGGCTCTAAAATAACATTTTCTTTGTTCATCAGTCACATCTCCAGGCCCCTCTGATATTACTCTTGCTTTCTATTTTGAATTTTTATTCAAACAAAAAATAGAAGATTTACTGTTATGCAGACCACTGCAATACTGTAATAATTGTATAAATAATGTCAACCCATTCATGACTGCATATTAGAATGGCTAGTTGAACATTTATTGGGCAATGACATCATTTGTTTACTCTTGAACATTGGCAAAAATCAAACATTTCCTCTACTTTGAGCTCCATTTTAAGGTTCTTTTCATAGTAAAACCAATCAAAATCACCTCTATTTCTATCAGATGAGACCAAAAAAACGAGAATACAACCATAAATACTATACGAAAATAGACCACAAAGTCAGCGTTTTATTCCAAAACAACGGTCAGTTTTTTTTTATTATTATTATGCACTGCTTGCTGCAGGATTTTTTTTTATATGATGCACACTGACCACACACCCATTCTCTCACATGTGGGCCTACCAGCTTTCTCCTGCTTGATTTGAAGCCTCTATAATTTTTGAGTATATATACGTCAAGCACAGTGGCTCGTAAGACGTATATATACGACCGAAACAGTCAAAGGGTTAAAGAGTTATGGAAGAAGAATCCTTAGCTTTTGAGGCCTATGGAATTGAGACCACTACATTCATAATTTGAGACTTGTTGATGAAAACCTGTGGTCTGAATAGATAACTGTAGAATAAAAATAAAACTACACAGGGAACTATGGAATTGAATTACATTTTGTCAGGTAGATTTCTTTTTTTTGGGGGGGGGACACAAGGAAGCAATACCGTAATTTGTAGTGGAGGAGTGAAGAATGACTGGACATTATGCCACAATGTTACCTTCTGCTGTATCAGTGTTTGTATACACTCCCATAAAGTTATTTTCTTCTTTTTTCTTGTTTGCTATACGAGGCATTGCACAGAAGAAAAGAAGCTCAACCATGGCTAAAATCCAAGTTATTGTATGCATCAATTCCTTAATGTTTTGTATTGAGATTCAGAGACCCATGACAAGGTACGAAAATTTGAGTTCCAATCTTCCCCACTTCTGCATTTTTTCCCATTGTTTGAATGTTCTTTTTTTTTGCCATGCAACACCTAATATAGTACTTTCCCAAATTCATTGATTTTTATATGGTTTTCTGGTAGGTGTGGTGGGTTTCTAGTTGTTGCGCAGACACACTTGATAATTTGTTCCAGTTTTACTTTCAAGTTGTTTGAGGATCATATATGTATATTTTTTTATTTATCACATTTGTCGTTTCCCACTGAGGCAGGGTGACCCAAAAAGAAAGAAAAAACTTTAAGCATTCAACACTTTCACCATCACTCGTACATAATCACTGTCTTTGCAGAGGCACTCAAATATGACAGTTTAGATGTCCCTCCAAACTACCAATATCCTAAACCTCATCTTTAAAGTGCCGGCATTGTACTTCCCATTTCCAGAACTCGAGTTCGGCTAATTTGTTTCCCTGAATCCCTTCACAAAATATTACCCTGCTCACAGTCCAACAGCTCGTCAGCTCCCAAAAAACATTCGTCGCCATTCATATACGTACATGTCGTGCCAAATGGGTAAAATTGGTCAGTTAGCAAGAACTCATTTAAAATTCAGTCCTTTCTAAAATTTTCTCTTGTGCCTTTAAAGATAGTATATTTTTTCATTTATGTTAATTAAAAAAATTAATACTTTTGTACCAAAAGAACCTTCGAATACTTTACTATTCTTATTATAACAAGTGCATTTTAATTTAGCCTAATCCAACTAAATATACAGTGGACCCCCGGTTCGCAATATTAATCCGTTCCTGAGAGCTCATCGTAAACCAAAATTATTGGAAAGTGAATCAATTTTCCCCATAAGAAATAATGGAAATCAAATTAATCCGTGCAAGACACCCAAAAGTATGAAAAAAAAAACTTTTACCACATGAAATATTAAGTTTAATGCAACAGAATAATTACAGTAACAACAATAACAATAGAATAATTGACACTTACCTTTAATGAAGATCTGTTGATGATTGATAGGATGGGAGGAAGGGAGTGTGTTGAACCTATTGTTTAGAAGGGGAATCCCCCTCCATTAGGACTTGAGGTAGCTTTTCCTCCTGAGTAATGTAGGTCCTGCTTGGCAATTTCTTCCAAAACAGGCCTGTTTTGTCACAATTAAACACTTGTTCAGGTTTCAATCCTTCAGCCTCTATGTACTCCTTGAATTCATGCACATATTTTTCAGCCACTTTGTGGTCTGAACTGGCAGCTTCACCATGCCTAATCACACTATGTATGCCACTACGATTCTTAAATCTTTCAAACCAACCTTTGCTGGCCTTAAATTCACTCACATCACCACTAGTTGCAGGCAATTTCTTTACCAAATCGTCATGCAACTGCATAGCCTTTTCACAAATGATCGCTTGAGAGATGCTATCTCCTCCTATCTGTTTTTCATTTATCCACACCAATAACAGTCTCTCAACATTTTCTAACACTTGTGGTCGCTGTTTCGTAATCACAGTTGCACCTTTTGCAAGAACAGCTTCCTTGATTGCCATTTTCCTGCTCACTATAGTAGGGATGGTTGATTGGGGTTTACTATACAACCTGACCAGCTCCAATACACGCACTCCACTTTCATACTTTGCAATTATCTCTTTCTTCATTTCAATAGTCATTAGCACCCTTGGTCTCGAAGGGTTGGCACTAGAAGCTTTCTTGGGGCCCATGGTGACTTATTTTGCAGAAACAAGCACCAAAAACAGTGATAATATGGATAATATAGAATGTACCGAATGTATCCTTAGATGCGTGCACACTGGCTGGCTTGTAAACACTGGACACGTCTCGTACGAATCGTATCACATACCGGGTTTTGTATCGGGAAGCGAGGCAAATTTTTTTCGATCAAATGCATCGGCTACCGGATTTATCGGATACCGATAGCATCGGGAACCGGGGGTCCTCTGTATTTTAGATGAGTTTACAGTAATTTAATAATAAGCAAACACAATGAAATATATTTTTTCATTAGGTTCCGAATGATTTTTGCAAAATTATTGCATACACAAATTTTTGCTTGCCTTATTCAGCAAAAAGAACATTGCTATTTAAGCCAATATTGCAAGTTTTACCTATTCGGAACGACATACAGCCTCTCCTCACTTAACAACGGAGTTCCGTTCCTAGGATCACATTGTTAAACGAATTCATCGCTAAGTGAGAAGCATACTGTAATGGTAGTGGGTTTGTGTCAGTCATCTTTGATATTGTTTTAATGTCACCTTTGCACCATTTATAAAATTTCTGGTATATTTTTAAATGTTTATACAGTATTGTGCTGTATATTGTAATAAACAGAAGAGGAAATCAGCTCTAATATACGTACATTATTTAGGTATGAATACTTGTCAGAGAGCCTGTCGTAAGTCTGAGGCATCAGTAAACCAGTATGTCGCTAAGTGAGGAGAGAGTGTATATATATATTCATGTTATGAAAATATTCAGTGACATATTCCATTGAACTAGGCCAATTAACAAATGTGCTTGTTTTTATATATCATGACTGGTGTGAGGGAAAACGACAGACAATAAATGATATTCATGGAAAGGTGCTAAACCTGAAGGGGTCTTACAGAGTTTAGGAAATGGGAGGTAATCACATCCAGGGAAGGGAAAAATAGCTTCAGTTCCTTGAATCAGGAGCCCTTTGCCAGTATAAAGGCAACTCCCTTAAAAGCTATAGCCAGCAGTGAACTCCAATTAATAGCTGTATGTTTTGGAGAGCACTTTCTGTATTGTATAAACTAAGATTAGAGTTTACGATATTAGTTCTTGTTCAGCCCAAAATTCTGTGAATACTATGGGCTTTGCATTAGTACTATATGATCAAAATTGTCTCTAGTGTTTATTTTGTGAAAATCATGCCCAAATAATACTATATTTATTTGTTAGTTGTTAAGAATGGGATAGGGGTTGTTGAGAATGCTTGTGTATGTAGAAATAATGAAAGTGTAGTTCATTAAGAGATTTTATAATAGTGAGTTATTTTTTTTAGCACTAGCATTCTCCCACCAAGGTAGAGTGACTCAAAAAATGAGGAAATACATTCACCATTCTCTATTAAATCTCTCTCTTGCCAGAAGCATGATGACATTAGATTTCAGATGGCTTTTTGACCTGCAGCATTCTCGCCTCTCCTTTAGATCTCAGTCTGGATATCCAGCTTTCCTGAATTCCTTCAATAATGTTACTTTGCTCATACTCTAATGGCATATCAA